CCTCTGAAAGGGAAAATAGTTTGCATTCTAGATAGAAGAATACAAATCGCGTGCTGCCGCAAACAAACTTTCGAAAAAAAAAAAAAAAAAAAAAACGCACAAAAAACCGTAATTCGCGCAGAAAGTTTGCACGGCGCGTAAGTGACATTTTATTTCAAACAAAATCTTGCGGTTTTTGTTTGTCAATCGATAGGAATATATATACACACGTGTGTGCAACGTCAACAAACACATTGTTGAAGAAAATACGCGCGTTTAGGAGGAAGATCAATTGTTATTCGTATCCGTGTATATACATTTTTATTTGTATACACCGTAGCTCCGTTTCGTCTTCTCGAGCTTATCGATCTTCGAGAGATTAGCTACTGGGGCATAAAAAAGGTACTTTCACGGGGGAAGGGGTGTAATGAGAGTAACGGAGAGTCTTGTAGCTCGAGGAACGCCTTTTCTTCTGGATGAATACGCCCGGAGCAACGTTTCGCGAAAGTATCGAGAGAGAAGGATCCCCCGCTTCTTACCTCACTTCTTACGCTTTTCCGGAGAGGCAATGGTGGGTGAAGATCTAGTTACTTATGTCGTTTACTGAAGTTGAAGAAAAATCTATGTCGCGAAGTGTCTCTTATGGTGTTGAACGTTGAGCATCTGCTTAATTTCTCACCCGTCCCAAAACGAAACTTTCTTCGCGTCGAGGACTCGCCCTCGCATCCGAAACTCCTTAAACTTCGCTCCGCCGTCCGCCTCACTTTAGTTATGCTTCCCCATCATCTTATCACACAGGTGCGCAATCTTGTGTCTGTAACGCGCAAATGTACCGCACCGCTCTTAATTTATATAAAAATACGCGTGGAGCAATTTTAGAATATTTATATTTATATTTACGGTATAAATATCTATATAATTGCTTATATCGTATTTATATTTCTTTTATAAGTTTCGTCACGTGGAATATTTAACGGCAAGTATACCTCTCCATCGGTTTTTGGCAATCGATAGTTCGTTTTTTACGAGATCGGACTCGATCGCACATCATTTTAATTGCGTTAACCGTATCGATTGTGCACTTTATCGGGTTTTAACATCTCTCGCAAATATGACACGTCGCTTTTCCAACCATTTGCCACACCGAACATTGTCGCGGCTGAGGTTTATACGTTGTGACTCGCGCGCACACGAATCGCGAACGTTCATCATTATCGGATCGGTCAGCGGAGACAGGCGAGAGAAGAAGACGAAGTGTGTGACCGTGCTGAAAAGGGAGGTGAGATGAGGTGTGGAGAAAAGAAATGATTGCTTCTGGCGGCAGGCGCGCTTGCGAAATGAACGTGGCGTGACTGCCGCTTTGAAACGGGGATGAATTGTAATTGGACGGAAATGGAATTCGGATAGTTCAGGACCAAATACGCAGAAAGAGACAGATTGTATCAAGAAGAGGAAGAGAGAGAGAGAGAAAGAGAGAGAGAGAGAGAAGGAGAAGCAGAGAAAGAGAGAGAGAGGGAGAGAGAGAACGGTAGACAGAGAGCGGGACGAGGGGAAGAGGGTAAGCTGTGGTGAGAGTGAGATACAGAGCAAGAGAGAGAGAGAGGGAGGGAGAGAGAGAGAGAGAGAGAGAGAGAGGAAGAGAGAGAGAGAGAGAGATATGGTCGACGGCAGTGGCCTGTAACTCTATGCTTCTGTGAGCTTCGATCAATAGAGGCGGTGAACAACATTGCACCGAACGCCACCGAACGCTAAAACAGTTTGTGCAACCTCCGCGAGCGATTTTCCGAAATTACCCCTTAGGAAGATGTGGCCGATCTGCTCGAGTAGTTTTTCAGGCCGAATTGCGATTGAAATTAAGCCCCTCTCTCTC